TGTGTCTCGGTCTACGTCAAAAGGGATACGACCCGAGGTGTGCTGACAAGGCAGACATGACAGCTTTGCCTGGATGGTCTCCTCTTTGCTATCGCCGCCTTGAGCTTTGATGGTCATTTCAGCATCTTCCCACCAGTCAAGCTCCGTGACATTGGTCAGCCCCGCTTTGCGGAACCATTTTTCCAAGCCCAGACCAACGAAAAATTGTGCCTGAGGGTGCGCCTTTTGGATCTCAAGCACTGAGTTGTGAGAGAGATGATCGTAGTGGCTGTGGCTGATTAGAACAGCGTCAATGACTGGGATATCTTTAACATCGCAGGGGCGTTGGGTGAAGCGTCGAGGCCCTAAGAAGCTGACTGGAGAGCATCTATCTTCGAACACCGGATCGAAGAGAACTCGTAAGCCTGAGGGGAACTCGACATAGTAGCATGCGTGGCCGAGCCAAGTAGCACGAAGTTTCGTCGAGGCTTTTCGGTGTGGAAGCCACTGGGGTCTCCTCACGGCGATCTTGGAGAGTGTGGTATCTGGGATTTGGAGCTCGCCGCGGATAACCGGCCTAAATTAGAGCTTTCTAGTAAGCAAACAAGAATACAATTAAATCTGAAGAGAAAGAAATAAAGCACAAAATAGGAATATTGTTCCAACTTGTGTAAGAGAAAACTCACCAGACGACGTTTTTGAGATAATGAACAAACTCGGGGTGTTCGCCATACGAGGGGTATGGGTTCCTGAAGCGATGAAAGACACCTTGATTGTAAACATGGTGTGGATTGGAGACGGCTTCTTCTGGCAGGTTTATCCTGCCTTGAAGCTTGCTAACAGCAATCTCGTAGTAAAGAGACTGCTTGAGGCTGGAGAGGGAAGTCATGATTATTGGAGGCTTGCAGAGGCAAAGCTAAGAAAGTAGCACATGCGGAGAAAATTGTTTCTACTAATGCCTCATAACAAAAAAAGGAAAAAGTAAGGCCGAGCGTTGGTGGAAGAAAAGAAGATACGTGCATATAGTCTACATGTACCATGTGCCAAGATGGTTGGAGCTCCTACCACGCGCAGTGTACATGCATGAACACATGTATACAGATTAGTATGAAAAGCTACTACAAGTTTTCTTGATACAGTATTTATCTTAATTTACTTCAAAGAATTTCTACGACTTTCATAATATTCCTTACAACTTTCTATTCAAATCTGTTCAAAATATTGTTATTCATAGAGTATTCTTCATGAAAGTGCTTGAATGCTGCTGTTGATTCTTAGGTGCTGCAGGGATTTCGGGGCTAATTTAGTTGCACACACTAGAAATCGGCAGCTGAAGAGGCCCCACGAGTCAGACCAGGGGTGCATGCCACTCTCCAGTCAGCACAGCCAGTCAACACAGACGATCAAAACAAGACTCGGCCCGTGAATATCGGTTACCGGCAAGATGGACACTATATTGGCTGCAAGCCCCAGCGTCGAAAAACGTGCCATCCTCCGGGTCTTGTGGAGGATTCTCTCCTGACCGTGTACCCGCTGTAAGCCTCAAACCACATGCGTCGAAGAGTTGTGCTAGCTGAGGCCAAGCAAGCCGCTTGATGCAGTATAGCGGTAATTCAGGACGGTAATCCAAGGGGAAACTAGTGGAAAGTGCGTCCAAAAATATCCAGAAATACGCCTGGAATATGCTCTTGCTCGAGGTTGCTGACCTCTCGTGTCAAGCTTCAAGCATATAAATCGTAGCTCTAACCCCTATACTTCTCGCCATGTAGCCTAGCACTGCATCTTTGTCTCTCCTGTCTCCAATCCAGCCATGGTCAAGGCGACCTTCTCAACTTGGGCATCTGCCCTCTGCCTGTTATCTCTCTCCGGAGGCATTGCAGCCCTTCCTGCAGCAGCAAAGGGAGAGTGTAAGGCAGATCTCAAGGGCCTCCTGACGGATCCAGCCCGCCACTGGGCTGTGAACACAACCATCTCATTTCCTGGTGACACTACCTTTGCTAATGCCACGGAGCGTTGGTCCATCTTCAACGCCCCGACATACAGCGCCGCCGTGAGCCCTGGAACAGAGGCGGATGTTAGCAAAGTGGTATGTAGAATAATCGTTTGGCATATGCTAAACACTCTGTTAGTTGAAAACTTTATTAATTTCCGTATTTCAAGATCAACCTAGCCAGAACCAATGGAATTCCCTTCATGGCTCGCAGCGGTGGCCATGGATATGCGGCTAGTTTCGGCAAATTACAGAACGGCTTGTCCCTGGACATGAGCAAGTTCAACACTGTTAAAATCGACTCAAAAGCCCAGACGTTGACCGTTGGTCCCGGTGCTCGCTATCGTGATATTCTTGACCCCTTGTACAACGCTGGCTTCTACGTCCGTAAGTGTTTTCTCCGTCGTAAATGCTCGAAGGTAACTTATGAATCTCCTAACTAATCACGTTCTTAGAGACTGGCAGCTGCTCATGCCCTTCTGTCATTGGTGTTGCCATTGGCGGTGGTGTTGGACGTCTGATGGTAGGAATATCTCGACATCCACAGGTACACGTTGCTAACATTTATCAACACAGGGCGAGCTTGGCCTGACTGCTGACGCCTTGACATCCGTCCGTCTGGTCGGCGCTGATGGAGTTGCCAAGACGGTATCGGCCACTTCCTACCCAGACTTGTGGTGGGCTATCCGCGGTGCAGGTGCAAACTTCGGTGTCATCACGTCTGCCACTTTCGAGGTCCAAACATTGGCCAGCAACAACAACGGCAACGTCTTCATGGTCGACTTCTACCTTCCCAAGGAGAGAAGTCTGGAGTATTTCCAGCTTATCGAGAAGAACTACAGCCCCATGCCCTCAAACCTGGCTGCTGTCATAGTGTTGAACTGGAACAGCACTCTCAACGTCGTAAGTTCATGCCATTTTAGTTAACTCAGATGAGAGATGAGACATTCGACTGAGTAAATGCTGATTAACCGATGTATAGAGCCAAGTCGGTTCCGATTGGATCTTTTACGGCACAGAGGCAGACGCCCGCAAGGCCCTCGCTCCAATTCTTGCGTTCGGCGCCCAATACATCACTGCTATTCTCCCGTGGAACAAGATCATTGCCTACAGTGGAGCTGGCTATGACCCAGAAAACTGCCTGCCCAATAAGCCGCGAAACAGCTTTTCTCTCAACCAAAAAGTCTACAGCGCAGCTGGTTGGCAGCAAGGCTTTGAGACCATCACGGACTTCTTTGCGAAGAACCCTGGTGGTCGCGCTAGCCAGATTATGTTGGAGCTCTTTGGCAACAAGGCGACTGCTGCTGTTCCTGCAAGCGAGACCGCTTGGCCATGGAGAGATGTTTGGGGCTTTTTGTAAGATCCACGATACCCATCGTTTGTTCTTCTTTCTTCATTCGGTCATCTTGCTAACATGGTGTTCGTTGTATTAGCCAAGCTCAGTTTGTCTACGACGCCGGAGACAGCGCAACGCAGAACGCAGCAAACACCTACGGAGCTCGAATTCGTTCGCAGTACGCCCCGTACACTGGATATAACAAGCCGACTATTTTCGTCAACTATGCTCGAGGTGATGAGCCCATTGAGAATGTATTTGGTGCAGACAAGCTGCCTCGCCTGGCCCAGCTGAAGCACAAGTACGATCCGTCCAACCTCTTTGCTTATGGCCACCCTCTGCCTCAGAAATATCCTTGAGAACTCATGTTCTTATTTGTCGTATTGTTGGTTTCCGCAGTGTATTTCCTAGAAGCCTCATAGCTGTGTAAATGGCCCATTCGACACCAATATGTAATTATCTATCAAATTCATTATATTTCAGCTTTTTACCTATTTTACATTTAATTTGATGTAGCTGAACTCTACATCTTTCCCAACCCATCTTCTCGATATACCTCCATAAATTGCTCTTTCGCTACCAACTTCCCATCAGCCGCCCTTGTGAATAATGTTCGACTGAACGATAAGACTAAGGCGCTTTCAAACATACTGCATAAGGATAGGATATGGACAACCAGCTTTGGGATGAGATGATGCAAGAGTTGGAAGTTGCCAGCGGTTTGAGAAATGCCGTATAAGACTAGATCAGTAGCATCCCAGTTAAGCTCTCACTTAATTTCAACGTTGGCGTTGTCTATACCCTGCTCCTGAGTTTTCTATTCAGTAAGGAAAGAACAGGAATTCTAGCTGAAGAATACCTTTGCTAATACTATGAGAATAAAAAGCGTTGAGCAAACCGCTAAGATGGCCAGCGGCGGACTTGACCATCTCGTTGCGAACGCCGCATACGTTTCAACGTACGATGCGTCTGACCCTCTTGGAATGTTGTAAGCCCATCTTAGCTGCAACCCACGCTTTTATCATATCATTGGAACAATCGAAACGAACTAATGTTACTTGTCAACGCAACTAGAGGCGAGGACTCCCAGGCCCTTGATCAAGACCTGCTCAAGTCCTTCCAAACCAGCATCGTTCGCAATACCCATCTGATCAACCAGTTCATGCCACTTATTCCGGCAGATAAACCAAAAGGTGATTGCTTTGTCCACTGGAATTGCGGACTTGGACTCCATCAACCAATTTTAATTGAATAATGGCTCAGCATACGCTATCAGCAAGGCGGCAACGAACGTTGTGATCGAAAAATTCCATACGCAGTACAAGAAAATGGCGATTCGTATTAGAATTTGCCCAGGTATGGTGGAGACTGGACATTTCAAGAGCCGTATGAGCTTCTACCTTTCTTCATTTTACTACCTATGTATCGATAACTGGCTGACTATCGAACTCCTAATCAGTGACCGCAGAGCGAATGGCCAAAGCAGGAGGCATGTTTCAGAAATTGTTGGCATATAGCCCACAATTCAAAGGTCTAGCCTCCCCAGAAGCCGACGTTAAAGATGTGATTTCCGTGTGGGAGAGTTCAACTATCAGTGGCGGAAGTGGTGGTTCATACGTGTCACACTATGGAAAGAAGTAGTGGCTGTAAGCTAGACGCTAACATTCATCGCATGACATTGATTCTCTGCTCAGTCTAGCTACTCTTTCCAGAATCCTCCTTTAGTGCCACAATACGGTTGAGCACGATCTTGTCATCTGTGCTATCCGAGTCCAAGGCCTAGTTGTGGAAGAAAGGATTGTCAGCATCTGCTACAGGTATCACAGGCAACCAAGTTTAACTTACAAAGTATGCAACACGAAGAGCCTGGAACCGCACGCTCTCTGGGAGTGCTTCTCCAGTCTTTTCACCCTCGGCTTCGGGCCAGGGCGCCCTTCGCTTCACTTCGTAGAAGCCGTTCTCAATCATTGCATTTGGCCAGATGGTCTCGCTGTTTGGATTGACATCACTCAAAAGACCGCCAGGGGCAGATGCAGGGCTATCAGATTTGAAAAGAGGCTCATGTATCCGCACTTCGGCTGCAGGAGAGCCTTCAGGTACCCACTGAATATACGTCTTGGGTTTCTTGCCTTCCTTGTCAAAAACAGCTCGGATCTCTTTGATAGCTCCTGTGGTTTCGTCTTTGGTGAAAGAAACAGCTTTGATAGGGAAAGGCACATTCAACAGGCCAACACTCTTGCCGGGAGCGAGGCGGAAGTAGTCCTTGCTGTCTACCTCCCGGAAATCTGAGCGGTCGATGTAAACGGTCTTGGTCAAGCGAAGAGTGTGAGATCCTAGCTTGGGGTCTTTTGGTGAAAAGGGAATATCCAGGTCCTGCTCTTCGCCATCCTCAATCACCACTGGGACAGGATCCAGGACAAGCATGAGGCGGGGAACTGTCTTCTCGAGATACACTCGGATAGACTGCTCAAAACGCTTGATATTAACTTGCGTTACGTTGGTAGTCACACCAAGCTCGTAGATGAAAGAGAGGAGTGCGCCTGGGGGGATGCCTCGTCTTCGAATTCCTTTGATCGTGTATAGTCGTGGATCGTCCCATCCGCGAACAATCTTGTTCTCTATCAAGGTCCTCAGGCCTCTCTTGCTCATGATGGTGCCGCTGAGGTTTAAGCGGCCGTATTCACGCTGCATAGGCTGGAATTCCACCAAAAGCCTACATTAATAGTTAGCTGATAGTTGGCTGCACCGAGATTTGCAGGCAAGGTACGAACTTATTCAACCACTCGTAGCTCTCTCGTGACATGATGAATTCAGTGGTACACAAGCTGTGTGTGATGCCCTCGAAACTGTCACATAAGCAGTGGGCGAAGTCGTAAGTTGGGTATATCCGCCACTTGGTGCCCGTCCGGTAGTGTGGCTCTTGGTCTTTGGGGATTCTGTACGCGGCAAGATCCCACATCTGGGGATTTGGATTGCCTTCAATATCTTGCTTCATGCGAAGCCATGCGCTTCTCGGCTCATATTCTCCATCCCTCATGCCTCGGAACTTCTTGAGGTTTGTCTCGACATCCTGCTTGGCATGTTCACAACGATATCTTGGAGACAAGCCGTCCTCGCCACCGCGCTGCTTCTTGGTCTCGACGTCGTCGCAATGGCACACGTAAGCCTTCTCCATCTTGATCAATTCTTCGGCGAGATCGTACATTCGCTGGTAGTTGTCGGACGCATACGTGATTTCACTCGGTGTGAATCCAAGCCATCGGATGGTCTCCTCAATAGCGACGAAGTATTCTCCTTTCTCAGCGTCGGGGTTTGTGTCGTCGAATCTAGAATCGGTCGTGTCAGCGGGAATCGACAATCGGTCAAGAGTTTCGCGTCGTTTTTACCGAAGAATCTATGGTCAGTTAGCTACATGCATCACAACGAATTGTTGAACACTCACAGTTCTACCACCGTGGAACTTTGCAAAGCCAAAGTTGACAGCGATGGCCTTGGCGTGTCCAAGCTAAACTCCCTGTTAGCTACTTCAAAGCCCTTTGAGACGCAGCATCAAGAATTACATGAAGGTAGCCGTTAGGCTCAGGTGGGAATCGCGTGACGACCTCCTTCTCTGGGCGCAGCTTGTAGACTTCGCCCAGGAATCCCTGCTTGAACATGGCTTCGGGGTCAATAACGCGTTCCTCGGGCTTCGCAGGCTTGGCAGCAGCTGGCGCGTTGCTCTTCTCCTGCTGGGCATTGGCACGGTTTGCAGCAGCATTCGCTTTTCGGGCTCGTTTTTGGGTTCGCTTCTTCAGCTCGTTCTTGGTGACCATCTCGCCCGTCTCGGCATCGAGAACAAGCTTGGCCACGCCCTCAGCCACCTCGGCCAAAGCGTCCGCCATCCTGAAGTCGTAATTGTGTGGTAACTGGGCTGGATGTCGTAGCTAGGTATAGAATGACTCTGCGATGCGAGTTTGGAGTTTCGATTTATGTCGAGCCAAAGCTGTGGCAGCGCAGCCAAATCTGAACCTGCCCCGCCATTCACGTGTGTACCCCTCCTGCCTTTTTCGCCGCGAAAGATACAAGATAAGGCGATGATGGATGACATAAGCATTCCAGACCACTGAGCTTGGCCGCTAAAAGGCCTACAATCACCAACTATTCATCGTCAAATGTGTTGTTGACTCATACTTTTGAGTACATTGGGATGATGATATTTCGATGACTCACAACAGAAGGTTTGCCAAGGTTGTTTAGAAAGATCATTCTATAGTATTGCTTGCACAGTGTCTACAAAGCTAAAGGCATAACAAATGACACTCTCATGCAAAGCTCGACAAAGCTCAGCTTACAGGCACTTGATAGCGAGTGCCTGGACATGAGCGGCGCTGACTGCTACTACAATAACACTGTTTATTCTGCTTTCTGAATAAACCAATCTAGGCTAGAATAGTTTCAATAACCTACTGTATTTCAATATCTATTGTATAAGAGCGTATAAAAAGAAGATAAAGTGACGAATGCATGCATCCACAGGCTCTTCAATCAGTAACAACAGCACTATACCACCTGAATTTGTTTTGAGGGTCATACTTGGCCTTCAAAGCCCAAAGCTTGGGCAGTTGTCCATCACAGCCATAGATAGATTCAAGAGGCTCATTACCAACAGCATAGTTGATGTATGTCGTGGGCCGGCGACCAGGCTCACTACCTCTCCAGAGGGTCAAGGTCTCATCGGCCCAAGCTTGAGAGAAGTTCACCAATGATGGCGGTGTGGCAACGAGGATGAGACTACATGAGAGTGTTAGCTCATAGACAGCTCAGCGGAAATTTGGAATTGCTTTCAGCGTTGACGTACACAAGAACATACTCGTCTCTGTGGGGGCAGGCTGGAGTGCTGGGATCAGTGGCTTGTGTAGCGAGCGTTGAATAACCTTCGGCAAAGACGCGAGCTCCAGCGGCAAGACCAGGGTTTTGAGCAATCCTTTCGTTAATAAGATCATATATCTGCCGCTGAGAAGTCACATTATATGTCTGAAGCCACGCACTGCTACCAACAAATGGCCCTGGTTGGTAAGACGCGCTGTTGGAATCTGTCCCTTGAGCAACAAGTAGGTCAGTATAGTCAACGTCGCCCATAGTGCTCGAGATGGCAGGAATTGCGTTGAATGGAGCCAGAAGCTCTTCGGCAGAGGCAGCAGGACCATTATAGGCAAAAGACCAAGTAAGAATAGCCTGTATAGTAAGTATTAGACTAGATTTAGAACCAATTAACGTCATTTAAATACGATTGCTTACCTGTGTGGCATTAATAGTTGGGTCAATGGAAAATTGGCCAAAGTTGACACCCATGAGGGCAGGAATTCGCCCCTTTCCTTGGAATTTGTTGAGTGCTTCAAAGACAGTTTCAAGCTGTTCTTGTGAACCAGACATAATTGTGGTAGTGCCAAGTGTTGACAACTTTGGGGTGGATTTTGATATTAGCACTGGTGACAATGCCAAAGTTGTGGCCGGCGCCCTTCATGGCCCAGAAAAGGTCGCCATGTGAGGATGTATTGACGACAACAATTGTGTCATTAGCTAGCACGATGTTCAAGCTGATGATGTTATCAGATATGAGACCATATTGGCCTTGGTATCTCCCAAATCCGCCTCCCAAGCCCGGCCCGAGGAGACCGACGCAGCCACCACTTCCGGTAGCTAGAGACGACGCACGCAGCGTTAGAAGATTGAGCTTGTTTTCATTTATTAAGTTTGTAAAACTTACTGGCAATGTAGCCTAGATCCCAGAGCATATCGATGACTATATCGGCATAGACTCCGCCTTGAAACAGGGCAGATTTCTTGTCGGGCTGTATAGTGATCCCAGTGAGTTGTGACAGGTTGATCTGAGTGCCCTGAAACTTAGCAAGTGTATTTGTGAGGCCATGGCCTCGGTTATACGTCAGGAAGTCAATGCTGTTTTGATAGCAATAGTGAACCTATACGGCTGGTTAGCACTTATGACATGGGTATAATACCTATGTGGCGACTTACAACCTTCGCAACGTCGGCCTCTTGAGTCACCTCAATTACAACCTCGATATTAGCAAAAGAAGGGCTAGAAGGGCCAAAAATTTGAGTGCCCTTAGAAAGAATCTTTCCGAGGTCGGTTTGGACTTGGGCCGGGGTGACAGTTCGTGAGACATCAGCGGCCCGGAGATAGTGAGAAACTACGGGGCTACTTGACACAATGAACGGAAACAACACCAGGTCAGAAGCCGAAAGGCTACCAAATTTAGAGAGCATAGCCTACCAGAAGAAACATAAGAGTGAGAACAATGAGTGGGCGAGTAGATAAGGCGATGATCTGCAAAGACCGCTAGAGAGCTTGGATATACGCCTTGGAGAGCATAGCTGAGTCGCTAGGGCTTTTTCTACCCAAAACGAATCTATTTCAGTGATACTTTTACTCTACATGAACATTTTTTAATTCTGGATTTGGTTTGCTTTGTCAAGTTTGCTAAGCATATGCAGTTCTTGGCCAAGATTTCACAAAATCGAGACCTGAGGATGGGGCTGGGATCATTCAAGTTAGTGGGACATAGAAGGCACGATACTGCCCTAGCACATGGCTCACACGTGTCGTACGACCTTCCGTATCTTGATATGTACTACATATATGAAGGTACAAAAAGTTCCAGGTAACTGGAGCTCGGGACAAAGCATTTCGGTGATTTCAACGTTCACTGCCAAATGCGGCAACGCTGTCTTGATACGGCCCGCCAATGTCAACAGGGTACCACATGATAGAAAGCGAATAAGCTAAGGCGGAGTTTGAGAAATAGGTATAGCTGCATTGCTTGTCAGCTCACCCTCCTAATCTTCACTCCCGGCCGCCACTAAAAGTGGGATAACGGAATCCTTCTGCATCTGCTCCGTGTTAGCAGCATACGTTCCAAGATACACCCTGATCCTCCTGGAAATAGTCAGATCTGACATTTGTCGCCATGGGATGGAACTTCGTCTTATTTATCATGCCATCCAGACTTATTCTCAGCTGAGCGGCGGTGTAGGAACTAGTAGTAGTAGGAAGATATTGGATCATGCAAATGCTGCCTTTGGATACCTAGCTAGACCCTGGCTCGTGCACGGCCAAATATGATGATAAATTTCCCATTGTGCGGCCCGAGAGATGACTTCAAGCACACGAACATCTCTTTGCAAATCACTTTATCATTGTTTTATGAATTACAATTGTCATTGTTGCGACTTGCTCATATATTGTTGGCTCACCAGCGATCCTACGCACAATATTCCAACTGTGTGCCTTACACCCCCCCTCCCCTCCATTTCCCTCGTTATCGCTGTTTTGATTGGGTTTTATCCTGCTATCAAGAAATTTTAAGTTCCTTGTCACACATAGAGATAGATTATGGCTTGGTTTTGGCAGTTGTGGCTTTCTCCTCGCCCCCAGCGATCGGAAATTGCCACAGATTTAACCGTTTATTCAAATAACGACGCGGCACTCTTTGAGTTCCTCATAGAACCTGATGGCCGATGGGTTGTAAAGGAAACACACTACATCAATAACCCCCTGGTAAAAAATGGGCTTTCTGGTCCACCACTGTAAGTCTTTTATCACACAAATGCGTTGTTTTTACATTGATGCGAAGCTCATCGCTATACATATAGGCACATTCACTGGAAGCAGAGTGAATATTTTCAAGTCGAACAAGGTGTAATTGGAATACATAAAAATGGAAAGCAGATAAGGGCCACAAAGGATGATGGCATCATCGAGGTGCCCGCTGGTACACGGTGAGCTTCACGCATCCTCCAGCCTTGACAGCCGTGTCAAATTTCGTGCGGGAACTAATCATTGCGATGCCATAGGCACAAGTTTTGGTCGCATGCTTCCAACCAAGAGGATTTAATTTTTAAAGTGTGGGCGGAGCCCCAAGGCCTCGACAACAGCTTCGATGAACGGTTCATCCGCAACTTGATAGGCTACCAGGCAGACTGTTACAAGGCAAAGATTGCTCCATCTGTATTCCAACTCGCGCTTATCTCATATGACTGTGCAACCTTGGCCACGCCGCCTTTCTGGATGCCGTTGTGGCTTCTTGCATCGGTCCAATATGTGCTGGCTTACTGGGTTGGTGGCTACCTACTCGGGTACGTTTATTGCCATGGGATTCCGCACCTTACTTTTGTGCAGCACTAACGTCAGACATGTGATAGATACAAACCGTCATACCCTGAGTATTTTAAAGAGCCAGAAGATAAGAAGTCGACGTGAAAAGGAAAAAGTGGTCGAAAAGTTCGCTCTGCTTCAAGCGAGAAGAATCATCTAAATAGATACAATTTGAGCGTTGTTTGCGTCAGCCAGTGGGAGTCCGGCATCATATTTAGAGAAACAAAATGAACAGTCTATTTGCTTATAAACTATTGACTTGCTTGGGAGAAGAATATGAATCACTCACAATCAGATTTCTCCGTCTTCCATGTTTTGCCCGTGAGATTCACTAAATACTAGCAGCCGCATACACAACAAAAGAGAGCATCATGGCTGCTATCCAGTCGACAACCGAGAAGCCTAAGAATTACACCATTATAGTCCAATTACTAAAGTTTAACGCGACTCAGTCAGTTGCTCCTCAGGGTGGTTAAATAGCTTCAGAGTTGGCGAGGTGGATTTGACGATGGGATCGAGAATTGTGTAGAACCAGGCATGCAGCACCTCATCGGAGGATTTACATGTCCGAACATATCTGTGCTTTGGTGAACGGTTGCACAGACGACAATAATAGAGGGATTCTACACAATTGCGCAATTAAGACGACAAACCCAACGAGAGCTCCGAATGAGCAGTTTCAGTTGGTGCTACTGTACCTATGATTTGTATCATCTCCAAAAGGGACCGGTAGTGATACTTTGCACAAAAGGCAATGACACCAGAAAGTTAGACTCAGCTGCTATTGGGAGCCTGTATACACGGTAGCCTATTACATTATAAACTACCTACATATATCTACAGTCACGTAGATTGTGACAGTGCAATACGGCGCCAATCAATAATTCCTTCCACATTGCGAACGAAACCATACCCTGTATCAGTTTTTCTAAGAGGAGTGCAGCCCTGAGCATGCTCCGTGCGCTTCCTGCACAAGAATCCCTTTGGATCAGCATTCAGCTGCAGTACACTCTTTCCCTGTACAACTAGCCCGACAGCCGGCTGGGGGTGGAAGACGGGGGGAAGATTGGGCCCATAAGATCTTCCTTTTCACACGCCCTCTCCACCACCACGCGGGCCGGGGTCTTCGTATGTGCTAGATAAACCCCCACCTTGATCTCAAATCACTCCGGCAATCCAGTGCACATCCGAGATGCCTGCTCTGATCCCTCATTCCGGGCCGGGACAAACTTGTGTGTCTGCGTGCCGTGTCGAACCAGAAGTGGCTGTATCCTGGTATCCTGGTAATATTGGATTCGAATGCCTGCAGCATCTAGCCAGGAACAACCTTGAGGCGTGTCTGTTGAAGCATTCATGTCAGCTTTTTTAGACATAACGGCTAAGTCAGTGCAAGCCTTGGTCAGCCTCATTTTCGAGATGGCGATATGATGCAATCTCTATGACTCCGGCGTGAATATGCGAGGATGCTTTGACATGGTGGGTTTTGGCAATTGTTGCCAATCTTGAGCTCCATAGCAAGAGTAGCTAGAAGTCCAAAATACACACGATACGGACAAGATTTTCTCTATCCATCAATGGCAGACTAATCTTGGTCTTGCCTGACCCTTCTCTCCGTGGTCCTATTTTAGATGGTGAACTCTAGACTGTAGTCTATCTTTTCTACTCTCTGCGTCTAGGGAGATGCTTCGGGTCTCCACAAGACTCATACTCCCGATCTAAAGACTTCGTTGACCAATCTAGCCCGCACTCGATCGGTCAGTACAACCATATCTTCTCTTCCCCTAGCCGATTTCAATGAGTTATAGATCATAGAACATCTTTGACTCGCTCACGTGTGTTGCTGATGCACAGGCTCAGATGGACAACGATATTAGCAAAGTGGGAACAGCTGTGTCAGATGACTATTTTGAAGACTGACCATCATTTGAACCTTTTCGCTTGCTACTACTCTGTCCTGGAGGTATCAATTAAATTCCTTTTTTGTTGCTTTGGCATCTGGGACATGCGCACGAAAATAAATAGAAGCATTATATAGCTCATGGTTTAATATACGGGAAATAATGAGAGAGGTATTGATACCACCGAATATGGCAGTAGTTGTTCCCTACGATTTTTCAATACCCTGTAGACCTGTATTGTTTATGGTGTTTGCTATCATGATATACATCGCCCCTCTGTCGGATTCTCACACCCGGGGTATATTTCCTATCGTGTCCTCGCTCGCATGAATGTGACAGCGGATCGTACCAGTGCCCAAACTAGTTGCCGGTCTGCATCAAGAGGAGGAGAAGCTTCCGAATAGGTTCTACCAGATTGATTTGATTAAATCTCCCATGACTTGGCTCAGATAGGCTAAGCCACCAAGGAGCATCCTCTCCCTAGGAATAATCACCGAGATCCCTTACTGCGCCATCTGTAAGGCCTTCATGGTCGGAGTCAAGAGACGAATCTGATATATGAGATTACTCCCAGTTTGTATGCGATCAGTCTATCTCTGAAATAGCATGTGACGTAGCATGTTGAAGCTTATCGTGTCTAGACTAGATACAGGCATAATAGCCCTCATATCCCATCCCTTTCGTTGTCTTTTGAGCCAATCGACAAGGCTCACAACCGCCTTTTTTATCACTTGTCTGCAATACCAGCCATCTGCAACCGGCTAGCTTAAACGTTCAGCTGCGCAGTGGTGGACTGGGCGAGGTACTCCTTGTATGGAGCAAGTAACTTCTCCACGGGGCCACCAGCGCCGCAGTATCTCTCGACAATTTCGACACTACGGCCGACATACAACTCGGGCTTCATCATGCCGTCAAGCTCGTCCCAGATGGGCTTGAAGTACTCAGTGTTGCGAATACGCTCAATCAAGTCATTCGGCTTGCCCTGAATCATATGCGATTAGTAATGAGCGAGAGAGCATGTAGGGGGGAGACATCTTACCTCCATCTTCACAACGCTTGCAGCTTGGCGTGAGATGACACGGATCTCCTCGTGTGCCCTGTTTCTTTTAGCAATGATCATCGGTTTTGTTTAGTCGCTACTCACTCTTGTCTTGAACCGCCCTTGGCCACAATCTTCATGATGATCTAGGGGCTATTAGCAAATGATTGAACAAAAACGCGTCTCCTGCTATAGACACCAGCTCTCGTGAAACTGAAGTACTTACCGCCTCGGTCACCATAAAGGGCAACTCCTCAAGGAATCTGCTTCGAATTCGTGCCGGGTAGACAACGAGACCATCTGTAACGTTGTCCAGGCCGATGAGGACAGCCTCTGCGAGCAGCATCATCTCAGGAATGTCCATTCCTATTACTGTTAGTCATGCTACTCTACATTCACTTGTAAGAAGAAGAAGATCATGATCCAGCCTCTTCTAACGGCAGGATAGTACTTACGTCTGATGGCAGAATCGTCCAGTGTTCGCTCCATCCATTGTGTGGACAGAGTGTTGGCAAAAGAAGCTGGCTTAGACATCAGGGCACGAGACAGAGAGCAGATTCTCTCGCTCCTCATCTATACAAAGGAGAGTCAGCAATATGAACAGTAAAAGCAGCTTTTTAAGAGAGCGGGAGCATTTTTGTTGTAAAGAGCTACTGACTGGGTTGCGCTTGTATGCCATGGCCGAAGAACCGATCTGTTTGGCCTCAAAGGGTTCCTAGTAAGAATTAATGTCAGTTATTGCTGGATTGTGTAACTGTTTCATCATCTGAGTGATTAACAAACCTCAATCTCCTTGAAGTTTGCTAGCAAACGAATATCGTTCGCAATCTTGTGAGCGCTAGCTCCGATGCCGGCCACTGCCTGAGCAATGATGAGATCAACCTTGCGCGTGCTTTTTTTTTCTTCAAGTTAGTATATCGCTTGGCGTTCAAGGCGAAGGTACAATTGGTATAAAGGAAACTCACTATGTCTGGGTAGAGATATCCTGGAAGAGAAGAAGAAGAAGAAAAGATGTCAGCAACATTCATTTTCACGAACAGAGAGAATAGTATCGAAAATAGCTCCACGTGGGAATAGAAGTGAGGAGAGCTAAGGACATACATAGCAGGCTGGGAATCCAAACTTTTTGCAAAGAATCCCGTTCAGCTTGTCGCACTTGGCGTGATCGCCTTGGAAGCTGTGAATTGGGCGGTTAGTAGACTGACTTGTGGTTTGGGTCTGGCATGCGTGTTTGATGCCGCAGGTGTGAACATACATTTCCAAGAAGGATGCCTGTGTTCCGGTGGTTCCTACTTGCCATCAGCAACTGAGCATGATGAGATTCTTGGAGTGATGGGGTTCGTCAGGTTTCACAGTGGCTGGTGCTAGACGTACCCTGGGCACCTCGGAACTTGAGATTTGCGCGAACAGTTTCGAGATTTTCCAAGTCGAAAGTGAGATCCTGAAGCCATTGGGCCGCTGTTCTCATCAGAATCATCTTCGTAACGGGACAGATGGCTTTGCACACTTACAGCGACGGCCAACTGTGATGGGCCTGTTGGGATTGTCAGCGCCTTGGCTTCAAAGCTTGTGGTCAAAACGGGGCGTCTTACTGAGCGCTCTGCAGATGGGTGTAGGCCAATGTAGGTTCAGCTATGATCCATGCATATTAGCAAAATTTCCTCCAGGGATTATTGAGGCACAGGCAAGACAAAAATCTCAATCTCATAACCTACATTTCCATTGGAGAGAAAATGCCTTGAGGTTGGAGATAACCTTGGACAGCTTCTGGATTAACAAATCAAGCGCCTTGGCCTGAAGAATGAGCTCTGCGTTATCAGTGACGTAGCAAGATGTGGCTCCGTAGTGAATGACACCAGCAGCAGCCGGAGCAACAAGGCCAAAAGCATGGACGTGCTGTGTTCTTGTCAGCAGGTTGTAGAGCGTCTTACGATGAAGAAAAGCTTACAGCCATGACATCCTATAAAAGTCATATTAGCAAAAAGAGTCTATAACTTGTAGCAACGTATCGCAAAGACAGATGCAACTTTGCCAACTTACATGACGTCTAATCCTCTCCTCGATACGCGCAGCTTCAAAGTCCTCGTCGGTTACGATAAGATGAGCCTTCATCTCCTCCAAAGCCTGAGGAGTAATGGTATCGATGCCCAGCTCGTGCTCAGCCTCGGCAAGGCCCAGCCAGAGCTTGCGCCAGGTAGAGTGCCTCGACCGCTGGCTGAAGAGCTGCGTCATCTCAGCGCTGCAGTAGCGGCTGGTCAGGGATGTCTGGTAGACATCGTAAGGGCTCTTCTGGGACGCCTTGAGCTGCTCAATCTGCTTCTGCAGCTCCTGGATCTGTTGCTCGGCCATTTTGGGATTTCTGAAAATGATCCCGTGTGCAGCAATGGAAACAATGATCAAAGTATCTGAACCGTGAGCTGCGAAATTTTTGGTGTTTCTCAACTGCCCATTGGCGTCATAATTTAGACTAAAGTCTAAGAAAAGAGCCATACAAATCTTATCGATAAAGCCGCTCGGTCCATAGCGACGAGAGCGCCTTGCCAGATTGGGATACTTTCACGGCTATAGCGGCCGACATCGCTAATCTGGGCATTTTCGCTGAAATCATTCTACTGCGTTGCCTTGAACATGTTCTGAAATAATTCTGCAGCAGCTCAAAAAATCTAGCTATTGCACCGTAACTACATATAAAGCGCCGTATTGGATTCCATTCAAAGGTCTTCTTTTACGATCAAATTGCTGTTCGTTTGCAATGTTACGCTTTAGCAGGCTGAGCTTATGCCATTTTCTGGTTCCTTGCAAAGTCTAGATGAGGTGCGGGTAAAGTAAATTGTCCCATAACAAACCTACCACATTGATCTAAAAAGAAATACTATATCAAAAAGTTAACTAAGAGCCTCGAGTAAATCTTCATTCTCATCAAGAGGTTCATAGTCTCTCCATTTGAGGCCCTCCGGCACAATCTTCCACTGCAGGTCCTCGTCAAGCAATTCTGCCATACTCTCCCATTCCTTCCTCACTGCTGCAGCTCTACTTTCGCTTCTTGGAACAATGTTGGCCTTGAAAGGTGCAGGCGAAATAAACAGACCATCTTGAATGTCATCAACGTCTGGGATAATCTCCCGTCCCGTCTTCTCATCAATTGGGCGCTTCAAGTCAAATGCCCAGAGGGTACGAGACATGGCCAGGAAAAGAGAACGATCAGCGATGTGCATGCCCTGGCATAATCGTCGGCCAGCTCCGAAAACATAGTGATCGCGCTTGGTAGGGTCGCCAGTGACAGCTGACTGAGCCGAATTCTGGTGGTCGCCTGCCCAGCGGGAAGGGTCATATTTTCGCGGATCGGGATGCCTTTCGGGATCATTCTGAATAGCCCTATGAAACACCTTTAGTGACCAATTTTGCTGTGAAGTATGCCATCTGAGACAACACCATTCAAACTTACCAGACGTTGAGAAAAACAGCAGAGTCCTTAGGAATATGATAGCCCATGTAGGAGTCATCCTGCGTCACGGCATGCGGTACGCCAAGAGCTGTAGCAGGCATCCATCGCATGCTTTCTTTCATGCAAGCACGGATGTAAGGCATGTCGGGAACATCATTCAAATCAGGCATGCGGTCTCCGCAGACGCGATCAATTTCTGCTTGAGCTTCTTTGGCGACCTCGGGATAGACCAGCATGGCCTCAAAGAAGCCAACCAAAATGATTGCCGTGGTTTCAGAGCCGGCTTGAAGGAGGGAGCCACCCATATAACATGCCAACTCATCTGAGAAGCCGAGCTCTTTTTGCGCGTTGAGAAGATCAATGGCGCAGCAAGGCTATTCTTGCCGTTAGCTCAACTAACACCTCATCTCGGGTTTCCTATATCTTACCTTTGCATTACCGCTCTTCAGCTGCTTACGAGCATTCAAGAAGTGCTTCATGAACAGTTTCATTTCTCTTTTGTGATATTCTTTTCCTGCCTTTCTGATTGGAAGGAGAAAATCAGGTAGAGATCTAGCAATGGGATACAAATCGAGTATGGCACCGGCCTATGGTGGCGAATACCGTCAACAGAGTGAACAAAATTGGAGATAAAGGCACTTACTTTATTTGTAGCGATTTGAGAGAGCTCATCAAAGTTCTATGAGATCCGGTCAGTTCAATCTTCCTTCAAATAAAAAGTCATGAAAAGGAGCGTACTTCAAACATGCTGAGCAAGTCTTCATCGTCGCTTGCCGCTGTACGGAAGCCAAACGCCATCTGCGTAGTGAGAGACGTTGTATACCGGCGAATGTGATTCAAGAAATTGTTTGGATTATCCAAGAATCCCATGAGCATGGCTTTGACTTCGAGGTCCTGGTATGGCACATATGTTCGAGAAATCTTGACATTGAGAATTCCGTGTGCAAGCTTTCGAACCATACGCCACACTGGAACATTTCCCTGTAGAGCATCTGGTCAGTCATTTCGATAAACGGCTGCAATACCAGCCAAGCCAAGACAGTATTGAGCTAGAAGTCGAGATAATGGAGTGTTATTGTGGAAAAAGAAGACTTACCATGAATAGCGGGCGTAGACCCCCGCTCATAATATCTTGACCCATGTACATTTCAGGTCTCCCAGAGTAGATTGAATTGCGCTTGTCCAGCAAATCTTTGACAGCCACATCCGACGATAAAACAATGGCAACTCTAGGTCCAAACATAATAGAGTATACCGGTCCATACTCTTCTGCCCATTTCTGAAACTGCAAGTGGGCATGCTTCTTTGGCATCAGATGAAGGTTGCCAATCAAAGGTAGTGTCGGCGGCCCAGGAGGATAGTTGCTTGGCCGTCGCCCAATTTTGCTGAGTTGCCAGAGCAGAAGCGTGGAGGCCATCAGGCCAAGCACAGCCCAGGCTCTCGGCATATCCGCCGTCACTACGCCCATAGTGACAACAGTTCGCAGGCAAAGAATACAAGCGTTTTGTACAGCTGTGACCTTGTTTAAAGAGCTTCTATCCCCAGGCCAGATATGAGAATAGCTAAATGTTTATAAGGCGTAAAGAGAAGGAGTTGTGCCGATATCAAAAGAACAGGCTCAGGTGTCACAGATTGGCCAATCTCAGGCAGGGTAATGGCTTACAGCTTAGCGCTCAGGGCATATCCCATCCGTTTTTATAGGTCATTGCTAAGAATAATACTGGTACGGTATAAGAAGTGCTCCTTCATTTGGCTCACAAATACACTGCCCGGTGTATCCAGATAGCAGGGCTCTATCACTGGATGGAGCTCTGTTGCGCCTACCAGTGCCATCGCATGGATACTAATCTTTCTTTTTCGGCTCCTTGTGGCGCCATAACGATAGAGAACAGGCAGACACGCACAAATATCTGCTGATCCGAGTATACGGGTAAGCTCAACAGTCGGAACTTACTGATCTGAGTACACAAGGATTTAGAGGCCGGAGTGGTACCTAGGTGGTCTTTGTTCACCTTCAGGCGATATGGTGCCTGCTCTAACTGTAAATGCTTCGGCCCGGCGGCGAGGGGCGGGCTCGATCTAGGATCTAGCGGAGCTGACGGGAGGTGTAAGGCGGCTACGGTGCAGGCCTATCTTGGATGTGGGATGCGAAACGCTGCAGCTTACTTATGCCAGGGTCTTATTAGCTTGCAATCGTGCTGAGATTCAGACGCTGGCTTTGTAGCCATGAATGGGGAATTAACTAAAATGGATTCAAAATATATTCATTGTAAGGATGCAGCCCAATAATAACTGCTCGTATTGAGTGTGTTCACAAAATCGCTATACAGCCCATCATCACATTTCAGCCACGTCAAGTTCCACCTCTTTCAGTGAGGGCACCTGTAATTCATTTACTTGCTTGTTTTTTGAGTTATTGACCAAGTTACTTCGAATCTCCAACACCATTCTTCCAAGCAATGGGCCGAGATCAAAAATTCGCCTTAGTCACAGGGTAAGTGCTGCAAATCAGCGGCCGTCTGAACTCTTCTGAAAAATCCTTACAGGTGCGGGAAAGGCGGAATTGGCGAGGCTCTTGTCCTAGAGTATACTCGTCATGGCGTACATGCTATTGCGACTGTGCTTCCAAATGAAGATAGCGATCATCTAACTGCTGCTGGGATCACTTGGTTTCGACTAGATGTGAGAGACGAAAAGTCTGTGATACACCTAAAGGAAGAGATCCTCGCAGTTACCGGCGGCTACTTGGACTTTCTCGTTAACAATGCGTAAGTATGCCGGGTGTGCTAATTTTCTCACTCTCGTTTAATATGAAACTTTCTCTAACACTGACTTAGAGGCATATGTATGTTGAAAACTCATAATTACATAATGGAAAACAATCATAATTGACTCTTCATGTGTATTCTAGGCTATACGATGACTGCTATTGACACTGATGTCAATGCTGTGAAGCGAATGTTTGAGGTCAATGTTTTTGGCCCAATGCAGATGGTGCATCACTTCCATGACATGCTCATCCGAGCCACTGGAACCATTGTCAACATTGGATCCATTGGCGGTGTCGTGCCATATATGTACGGAGGTACGCTGACGCTTTCAGAATTTCACTTTGGAGGACCATATGCTGACATTCGGAAGCGTCATACAATGCATCTAAAGCTGCTCTTCACCATTATTCTAATACACTGCGTCTTGAGATGTCACCATTCAAGTAAGGCATAACCATGAAAACGAAATGTGTGGTGCAACTTGTATGCTAATCAGCCGTCTACTATCGTACAGTGTTAAAGTCATCTGTGTGAGTTTATTGCAATTTTATACATGCATATTTGACATTCACCCGCTCTGACTGGGGGAATGCAGGTCATCTCTGGAGAAGTTGGAACCAACATTCTCAAAAACGACGTCAACCGAAAGCTGCCTGAAGGTATGTCGTTATCTGATGCTTTGTTATACTGAAAGCTGAATACTAAATGCGCCAAGGGTCATACTACACACCTCTCGCTACTGAATTTAAAGACCATGTCTTAAGAACACCCAGTAAGAACTCAATGATCTGATACATCTTACTTTGACAAGCAGCACGAAACTGAGATGATCCGTTTTTGCAGAGACTACAAGTAGGTTCGTTTACGCATCGAATGTTGTCGCTCAGAGCTTGAGGTCGTCCCCAGTACCGTGGCTCTGGACCGGAAGCGCCACTGGTATAATTCGATTCCTGGACATGTTTGCGTGGCGCACCATTTGGGTAAGTAAAAGTTTGAAGCAAGAAAATCATGGAAAAGAAGAAAGAGGTATCAAAGGCTGACGTTACTTGTCAATATTCAGGACTTTTTCTTCTACCGCGAGTTTAACCTGGATAAAGTCAAGAAAGCGCATTTGGCAAACGTCAAAAAGGATATATAGGTGGTGGCTTGGCATTTTTCTTGTCGGCAGCATGTATAATTTCAAGGGGCGGGGGAGGATTAAGAGAAGTAATGTAGTTAATTCAACGACTTGTTTTATCCAAATCAGTCGACATTCATTGTCTCAAATTTTGATAAGGTTTAATCGCTGAGATTCCTCTGGAATGCAGCCGCTGTAGATTAGTTGGAAGTGAACCGATCACTTTCCTTGCTTGCCCGATATGCTTAACGATTTCCAATAGGCATAAGCAGAAAGAAAGAGACATAGAAAAAGAGATAGAAGAAAGAAGAAGAAGAAAAATCTACACGCTATCAATCTTTTTTCCCCCTTTCGTATGAGATTTTAGCTCTCTACGTTCGATACATTCATGTTGACCATCTAGGTACTCTCTTTGGTGGCAAAGATGTTGGATGGATACCTACGTGTAATGAACGGGCGCATGTGACCCAGTCTTGCGTCTTGCTCTCCAAAAACTTTGGCACATCTGCCATGACACGATCGAAGTCATTTTATTCACATTAACAAGAAAGTGGTCAATATTAGGCATAGTGGTGCATCTAGCGCAATCGATGTAGTATTCCATTTTGAGGTATTCTAACTAGCCCACATCTAGCAAATCACTATAAAGAATACACGCGGTCCTCTAATACAGCAAAACCAATTTATCGGTTCTCATAGTAAGGTGCAAGCTCGTTGAGCTCCTCGCCAAGGGGCTTGCCATCGACAAGAATAGGCTTGCAGTCAAGCAGAACCCACAGCATACGGCCAGGCAAAAGACCGTTACCAGTGATGTTCTCCCACTGATGGGCACTGGCACGCTGAACACTGACATCGCCCTGGCGCAGGATGCGCGACTCGCCAGAGTCGAGAATCAGCTTGAACTCTCCCTCGATAACGACACCATAGTCGAGCGACACGGCGCGATGCATGGGGGAGATGACGCCGGGGGCAAAGTCAATCATGCGGCAAACAGAGCCGTTGTGGTAGTGCAGAGGAGGCTGTAAAAGTTAGTCTTGGTGCCAATAGTAAAATGAATTTCGTCAGATGCATGCTTACCTCGTTCTCCAGAGCAAACTTCAGGTCAACATCGCCGTTCATCTCAACGGGAGTCTCCTTGGTTGAGTAGATGATGTTGGCAAGAGCTTGGTCGTTACCAATGACACGGTGGTGGTCACCACAGTCAGTCTTGATGAACACACCCTTGCCCTCGGCGTTGTGGCCAGTGATGTGTCGGACGGAGCGTCGAAGACCGGGAGCTGGGAAGGTGTTGACATAGCCAGCGCTGGTGGCGAGCATCTTGGCCAGCTCGGGGTTGGCTTCCAGCATCTTGGCCAACTCGGGGGAAAGCTGCTGCTTCTGTTGCTCGGCCATTGTGATTATTGGGGATTTTTGTTTTTGAGTGTTTTGGGATTATTATTGAGAAATTGTTACTGAAGGAGAAGATGTAGAAGATGTTGATGAATAGTTCTTTCAATCGATAAATGGGCGAACAATGAAGCCAGTTAAATACATCTCGACTCAGCGATCTCCATACAAGGTGTCTTGATTCATCCCCAACACTGAAAAGTAAGCACTGTCACTCATTGTACTTGGCGATAAACGCAGGGGCGCAGATACGGCAATCCTACGGAGTACAATCGTCGGCACTCAATCACTCGGTGTGTAGTGAAAACGGCATCGGGCCGTCGTTGGTGTAAGCAGCTATCTCGATCTGGTTTTCGGCCGCTAGGAGAGCTAGAGGCAAAAGATTAAGGCTGGGGACTGATGTTCACAGCCCCTGCTGACGGAGCGGCTATGTACCTAAGATCCCAACCAAATGTACCAACCAAATCTGTCTCGACAAACGTTAAACTAGAACACTACATCTTACCAGCATCTAAATTAATTCCATTACATAGCGCCAAATGTATAAAGATTTAGTAATTACTTAATTTAGTATAGAAAATAAGACTAGGGACTTGTATACATACTGATTGGTCGTTACCCTGCAAACATCGCTAATTATAAGGTACCTAATAACATAGACTTTATGACCAGTAAAAAGGCAAATTTCTAGCAAAAATAGTACTACACAGCAGAGGATCTAATACATGTATGTATGTCTTGTTCTACAACTTCATATTTCTCTCCCTAAAAGTATCTTGCCTTCTTATTTAATAGAAAAAGTACTTTTGATAATCTTTGCTGGTTATTATTGCTCGTATCTAGTGAACTGCAAAACTAACAAAATGGATGCTTGCGGGGTGTAGCAGTAAACATCTGGGCCCTACATGGTTCTCCGCCCCGTCTAAGCATGGCAGGTAAGCGTGGTGCCGCCATCGATGATGAAACCGGATCCCGTCACGTAGCTGGCTCTCGGGCTGCTGAGGAAGATGACCGTATCCGCCACCTCCTCCGCAGTCGCAATCCGGCCCAGAGGCACCACCTTGTTGACCCAGCTGTCAATGTCCATGCCGCCGTCCCGCGCGCTTTGGATCATGGGGGTTTCCACCCACGTGGGACAGACGCAGTTGACCCTGATTCCGTAGGGAGCGTTGTCGAGAGCTACGACTAGCCGCATCAGTAACAATTGCCAAATGGGGTAATGGCCGCTAGGCGGGCCGAACGTACCGGCGTTCTTGGTGACACCCAGAACCGCGTGCTTGGCGGCCGTGTACTGCACCAGGTGAGGCGTGGCTGCGAAGGAATTCCCCGAGCCCAGCGTCACAATGGAGCCGCGAGTACCTCCTCGGGCCGGGTTTGCGGCGTCGATGGGCTTCAGTTCCTGGCGTTGCATCACGGCAGAGACGCTGCGCACCAGCAGGAAGGTCCCCTCCACGTGGATTCGCAGAAAGCGGCTGAACTCGCCAAGGTCTGCCTCTGCTATGTTGAGGGGCATCTGAACGCCAATCTGCGACAAAATTAGCATTCCCAGTCGGTATCTGCGCGCACCAAGCTTACCCCTGCGCAGTTGATGCAGTAGTCGATCCTTTCAAAGGTCTCAACCATGTAGCTGGTAGCCTTTGCCACCGACTCCTCCTGCGAAATGTCGATTTGGATCGCCTCAGCACGAAAGTTGGTGGCGGTTGCCACAGCTTTGCATTCCGCAACGACCCGGCCCGCAGCTTCAACGTTCATGTCCGCGATAAGGATACCAGCGGCGCCATCTTTGGCCAGGCCAAGGGCACAGGCTCTTCCAATACCGCTGCCTAGATACGTGTTAGAGGGCTTGTTAGATGGAGAAAGTCTGATATGGGGGGTTTTGCTTACCACCCCCAACGATGAATGCATTTCCAGTAATATCCATGGCTAATGATGTGAAATGGTTATCTTGAGTATGAAAGATGCGATCTGAGTCGGTGCGGCGTTCTGACCAATTGGTAATCAGTGTGAATCAGTGGTGAGTGTTCAAGAGTTTAGATAACGCTGAAACTTGCTGGCTGAACCGGAGCCTAATATACTTGTGGATGATGGACGGTATAAGCAAAGATTGATCCTAACCTACACAATAGCTACATAGAAATGATTGAATACACAAAGCCAAGCAACTTCATCATTTCATTTCATAGTCTATCACTTAGGTTCCTCTATATACAATAGCCGCTTGCAATACGTATCGGTCAATTTTTATCAAAAAAAAAAATCGCAAACTCCAGTTTCTACTATCGACAATAAAATGATAACTACATTATTTTACCATAGAAGCCTCAAATTGCCACTGATTGAATATGTTTGCATTTCGGAAATATTGAAATTACGTGAGAAAGCGGCCTGAACATCACTGACGGCCCGGATGTCGGAAAATCGACCTTCTGAGATAACCAAAAGAGGAAATAAACATAATTACACGGCAGTCGTAGTCCAAGTCTCGACTTCGGTCGTGGTCAAACTGAATATTGCCGAAATCCCTGCACCGTTGAGCAAGGGGGCGCATGCAAAATGGGGAAGGATTGAATCCCACCTCGCCTCGTGGGGCCGGGGCGTGAATCCTTCATAACGGTTTCCCGGGCCGCACCCCACGTGTATATGTTGTATTATCTCTGCAAACTACAGCCTGCAAGCTGCATGCTTCTCTCCGTTGGGAATCCAAACCCCCACAAGGTATTCCAGTTGCCAACATATGCCAATCGTGATAATCTCCGGAGTCAGCAAAGGATGATGCCCCCCACCTGGAGTAACCCGGACAAAGGGCTCCCCCCTAGATTGGATTGCATACCTTGCAAGCGGCTGGCTGATGTGAATTTGTATCCAGCTGAGAGTCTTCAATGCCTATCTTGGATATTCGCCCAGCATGGATACTCCGGGCAGCGATTGTTCGTCAAATAGCCTTTAGCGCTTACGGATCCTATCAACAAGAGTCATATCTCAGCCAGAGGGCTATGCGGACCCTAAGCACATCAATGCGTGCTTATTGTTAGAGGATAGAATGAGAGGCCGTTGTATGGAATCTAGAACTCCTACGCACATATCCTTTATCGTTCGGTCAATAAAATTGTGGATGCTAACGGATCCTATTGAAGAACAATCTGCAGGGTACCTGAGCCTTTACTTCGTATGGACAGACCCTGATGAGGACCGTTGAAACGCGGAAAGGGCCTGAAGGATCTCGGGATCTACCATTTACACTCTCTTACCGTGTTTAGCCTGTGGCATCTTTAGAACTTGGTAATCGTATTCATTGTGAAGGCGAGATAGTGGGTCGAATCATGATGCTGCGCCATACACTCGGGCTATCTGAGAGAGAAAGACTTGTACCAGCAATCATAGCTTTGATTACATGTCTGTGATTGCTCTACGTAACACAGCATGGAATAATATTTAAAACAACATCATCTCTCCCGAGTCAAAGTTTCAAAATCAAGCTTCACACAACACCTCTTCACCTCTCCTTTGTAGACTTCCATCTTCAGATCCAAGACTATCCTTGTCACTATCATCATTATCCTTCAAAATGTTCACTCTTGAGCCTGCTTTGGATATCCCCTCCGACTCGGAGTCTCTTCTCCGCAGTCACGGCAAAGATGCCATCGTTGTTACCGAGACATCTTACTTGAATGATGAAATACAGGAGACGTCTGGACCTTCCAGTGCCATCACCGATGAAGACAACACGGTGTGCATTGTTGGCATGTGTAAGTGAATTCAAACAGCTTCTTTTGTCAATACATGAGTATCTTGCCTGACATAATTCACCTTTCTCTAGCGTGCCATCTCCCTGGTGGAATCACCTCACCATCAGGGCTTTGGGACTACCTGTACAACAAGAAGACTGCACAATGTACCGTGCCACTGGAGCGATACGACGTTCGGGGATTCTACAACAAGGATGGTAGCAGGGCTGGTGTCATGGCTGTGGATGGCGGATACTTCATCAATGAAGATGTCCGCAAGTTTGACCCTGCCTTCTTTGGCATCAACAACCTCGAAGCCTCTTACATGGACCCTCAGCAGCGAAAGCTGCTCGAGGTTGTCTACGAGTGTTTCGAGAATGCCGGACTATCCATGGAAGATGTGAACGGTACTAGCACGGGAGTGTACGTTGGCAACTTCACTGCCGATTATTCGGTGATGCAGTCCCGCGATACCGACTATTCGCACCGTCTTGCTGCTACTGGTAGCGGTACGTCGATCATGGCCAACCGTATCAGCCATGTCTTCAACTTGCACGGACCCAGTTTCACTCTTGATACTGCTTGCTCGTCCACCATTTACGCGCTCCACCAGGCCGTCAATGCGATCAAAAATGGCGACTGTGACTCCGCCATCGTTGCAGGCGCCAACTTGGTCATGTCGCCCGAGCAGCACTTTGGAACTGCAAAGGGTGGCTTCTTGTCGCCAACCTCTGCTTGCCACACTTTCGATACCTCTGCAGATGGTTATGCTCGTGCTGAGGCTCTCAACGCCATTTTCATCACCAAGCTCACCTCTGCAATGAAGAGTGACCGCAAGATCCACGCCGTCATTCGTGGAACTGCCATCAACGCGTAAGCTCCCCCTTGTCCTAGTTTACTTTCAACCTCAACTAACATTGTAACATAGCAATGGTAAAACCCCCGGTATCACTCTGCCAGATGCCAAGATGCAGGCGGCTGTCATTCAAAAGGCCTACCACAACGCCGGTCTTTCGTTCGCTGATACCGACTACGTCGAGTGCCACGGTACCGGTACTCCGGTTGGTGATCCCATAGAAGTGGATGGCATTGCGGCCTGTTTTGCAGGCCGCGAGGGTGAACCCCTGAGACTCGGAGCCGTCAAAACAAACATGGGCCACAGTGAAGCCGCCAGCGGTTTGACTTCCATCATCAAGTGTGCCCTTGCTTTTGAGCATGGTGTGATCCCACCTACCTACGGTGTGAAGAACATCAACCCCAAGTGTAAGCCATCCTCGATATAACGCTTCAAAGCCAAGTTGCTGACATTCTTCACAGTGAAACTCAAGGAGCGTAACATGAAGGTCATGACTGAGAATGAACCATGGCCCAGAGCCATCCGTCGTGCCAGTGTCAACTCTTTTGGCTACGGTGGTGCCAACGGACATGTTATCCTCGAGTCCATCGGCAGCTACTTTGTTGGCTCGCTGGCCTCCTCTCCTGTCTCGCGAACTTTGACAAGCCCCTACGAGTCCAGCAAGGATCAGGTTTTCGTGCTTCCTTTCTCTGCCTCGTCGGGCAAGTCTTTGGAAGCTCGCCGCAAGCAAAACATTCAGACTCTGGAGCGAACTGAGCCAAAGGATGTCAAGGCCCTCGCTGCTGCTTTGAGCAAGCGACAGGCCAAGCTGCGTCTTCGCGACTTTGTCCTCGCCTCTGCCAAGCCCGACTCTCAGCCATCGCTGATCGAGACGGCTGACGCTGGCGACAAGGCTAGCCCTGGTGCCCAGCCTCTTCCCTTTGCCTTTGTCTTCACTGGCCAGGGTGCTCAGTACGCCAACATGGCCAAGGAGCTCATCGAAAACGATATTGGCTTCTTGGCTACCATTCGCGATCTTGATGAGGTCTTGCAGTCGCTGCCTGCCGAGTACAAGCCTGCTTGGACTTTGGAGCAGACTCTTCTTGACAAGCCTGCAGTGAGCAAGATCAACGATGTCACCCGCAGTCAGCCAATCTGCACCGCTGTTCAGGTCGCTCTTGTCAACATGCTGCGCACCTGGGGAGTCAGCCCAACCGCTGTGATTGGTCACTCTTCTGGAGAGATTGCGGCCGCATACGGTGCTGGTCTGCTCACTGCGTCCGAGGCCATTCTGGCCGCTTACTTCCGAGGCTTTGCTGTCGGCCAGCTCAAGTCTCGTGGCAACATGATGGCTGCCGGTATCTCCCCAGATGCCGCCAATGCTCTCATTGAGGAGCTGGGCCTGAAGGAAGTCCGAGTTGCCTGTGTCAACGCCCCCGAGAGCGTCACCATCAGTGGTGCCATCAAGGATATTGAGGCTCTCCAGGCTGAGCTCCAGAAGGAGGGCAAGTTTGCTCGCAAGCTCGAAACTGGTGGCCGCGCTTACCACTCTCACATGATGGTTGAGATTGGCGACCTGTACGAGTCGCTTGTCACCCCTCACTTCACCACCAAGAAGAACGGCGACATGGAGGCTGAGATGTTCTCTACCGTCGGCCACTCCCCTGATGCTCTCGGCACTGTTGACGCCTCCACCAACATGGCCTCTTACTTCCGCAAGAACCTTGAGCAGCCAGTCCAGTTCAGCGCCGGTTTGACCAAGATGATCACCGGTGACAAGTACCACTTGGTTGAGATTGGCCCTCACTCGGCTCTCAAGGGCCCTATCCAGCAGATCCGAACCGGTGCCAAGCGCGACAAGGAGGCTGTTCCCTACTCTCCCACTCTTGTCCGCAAGGAGAACGCCTACATCTGCTTGAAGAAGCTTGCGGGAACTCTCTTCTCCTACGGCCACAGCCTAGACTGGTACGCCGTTAACAGTGTTCCGCGACACCAGTCCCTTCCTGTGCCTATTCTGGCTTCGTACCCCTGGGACTACTCCAAGCCGCTGCCCTGGCACGAGCCTCGCGCCAGTGTTGAGCACCGTAACCGAAAGCACATCCGCCACGAGCTCCTGGGATCCCGAGCCACAGCCGGCAACGGCATCGAGTGGGCCTGGAGAAACATCCCTCGCGTGTCTGAGATGCCATGGCTGCGCGACCACAAGCTCGGCGAGTCGCAGATTGTCTTGCCAGGAGCTGCCTACATGTCCATCGCCATCGAGGCTCTCTCGCAAGTGCTGGACATCAAGGGCAAGCTTGTTGCAGGAGAGCCCTACGGCTTCGAATTTGAAAACGTCAACATCAGCGCAGCGTTTGTTGT